TCAGTTTGTGAGTGTCTACAAAATGCAACTCTCTAGATAACAGGTTTAAAGTAAAGATTTAATACAGTCTCCATCTCCTATGATGTTGCAGTGACAGTTTAAAACTCATTCTCTAAATCTCAGCAGACTTTATAGCTAGCACTGGGCCAATATAAAGTTTAATAGCATTACAACACATAAATCATCTTTTAAAGATGCTACTAGTAGCTCCAATATTAAATGCAGACAATCGCCTGTGTTATAAATAATTTATCAAACACCATTTCAGATTAGCCTTCCATGCTGAGTTATTTATTTTAACCTTTTCTGTATGATTCCTAAGGCACTTTTTGAAAGATCCATTACTGGTCAGTTTAATGAACTTGGGGGTCTGTTTTGTCCCCTCAAGCACTCGGGTACAGCTGTGGTGACCATTACATGGCCGACGTGGACCTCTTTGTGCCTTTTACAAGTGCTGCCCATTTGTCATGTAGCGGTAAATGGAGCTGCACATTGGAGTCCAGGGACACATTGTGCGATGCAGTGATGGAGACAAACAGATAGCTCTATAAAGTGCTGCTTGTCACAGCTGACGTGTACTCCAGTACATCACTCTTATTGTAATCTCATTTAAGAAGCAGGGGTGGCCCAGGGGACGGATATTCCCAGTTAGTTTGGTCTTTGTAACCATAAAGCAGGAAGTGCTCCTTTTATATTCTCTGAACTTTTAGGGAGTGTGCTTTTTGCTTGGATTAATTATTATAGGAACTTCTTGACAGAACTGTGTGCAGATTTGTCAGCAGGTTTATCTGGACCTTCTCCTCCTGGCCTGGGGTTGGGTACAGGCAGTCACTGCTTTGAGATAAATTTTGTCTCAGTGCTTCCAGAAGCCCTTTGGCTTGCTTTCTTAAATAAGTTACCTTTTATTAAGCAACAGCTCTGTGCCAGGCACTATAATAGGTGCTTTCTATACCTTATTGCTAATTCTTGCAGCAGTCCTTTGGGAAATCCTAATTTATCATCGCTGTACTACAAGGGAGGAGAGTGAATTCTGAGAGGTGAAGTGACTTGCCCAAGGTTGCACAGCAGTAAGTAGGAAATGGGATTCAGACCCAGTCAGCCTCCACATCTGCCAGATTAACTTAACCACCAGGTGGTGATATTTTGGCTGAGTGTCTCAAGGTAAAAGGAAGCAGCCATTGGGCCAGAGGGCCATTTTTCTGATAGCCAAGATGAGTCCTGCTGGTTCGTGTGCACACTGAATCCAAGCTCCCTTGTGACTCGCAGCGTAAATCCACAGCAGCTGGCCGGGGGAGGACGCCGGCCTGGCAGCGGGCAACAGCATGGCACCTGGGTCTGCTCAGCTGGGGCCACGGGCTCTGCAGGGCCCTCATCAGAGCCCCTCAGTAGCAGCTGTCCCCGGGCAGATGCTGCTCAGAACTTGGGTTACCCCGCAGCTTCCAGAAAAGGGAGGTGCAGTTTCCCTAGGAAGAAGGAATCCTAAAGGAAGGAACAATGCTTTCTGCATTTATTGTGGGCCAGAGACAGATAAAAATGTGGTGTTTTCCCCATCTCTTGCATTCAGTTGGTGGTTCTTCTTGATGGTTTTCTTAAATATTTGGGAGAACGTGTTAAAGACAAGAGTTGTTTAATTGTGAAACTCCACTATAAAGAAAACACAGTATGAATATGCCCAGCAGCATATTTGCATATGAGTCTAGAATTCTCTGAGTGTGGAAATACGCTGGTAAAAGATAGTGTTTGGCATACGAAGCGTTTCCTAGAACATAGTAGGTGTCTCTAAATATTTGTTGAAGACATTAACTATGTAAGTAATGGGTAGACAGTAGAGCCTTGGTAAATTTTCACCATTGCCCTCTGAGGGTTTTTGCTAGGGGTGGGGGATATGCGAAATAAGACATGGGTTTTGTTTTGTTTTTAAGATTTATTTATTTGAGAGAGAGAGAGAGAGTGCTAGCAGGGGGTGGAGAGAGGAGCAGAGGGAGAAGGAGAGAGAATCTCAGGCAGACTCCCTGTTGAGTGCAGAGCCCGGCGCAGGGCTTGATCTCATGACCCTGATATCATGAGCTGAAATCAAGTCGTACACTTAACCGACTGAACCACGCAGGCGTCCCAAGACATGGGTTTTTAATATTGATCTCTGCCATATTACATTGTAGAAATGTTTAAGTGGTGTCTCTGAGCAATTTGGGAAACACAGTGCTCCCCCCACCTCTGTTACGGAAATGACAGTTGGAGGAACCGCCCGTTGGCCCAAAGACTAATTGGCAACCACCATCCACTTGCCCAGGTTCTGGAGATCCTAGGTGACTGAGGAGTGACATACCCTGAATCAGGGAACTGAGGTCCACTGTCCCCAACTCACTAAGGAGCCCCTAGCTGAGACAGGTTACTTGTGAGCTGGTATGGTGCTGTGGCATTCTGGCTCTGGAGCCCAGTGGACCTGCTTTTTACTAGCTTGGTGACGTTGGGCAAGTCATTCACTCTCTCAGCTATAGTTTCTGACAGTACTAACTTCAGAAGATGGTTGAGGGCAGAAGTAAAAATGATCATCAATATGCCTGACTCAGTACTTGGCATATTGCGGTAGGTGCTCAGTAAGGTTCATTCAGTTTCATAACATCGAGTCCTGTGTATATGAGATGAGGGTAAGACTGGAAAAAAGATCAGAGACTTGTGAGATTTTCTTCCTTAAGGAATCGGTGGGGAGGAAAGGAATTTAAAAGGTCTTTTCCCAATTTTTAAAAGCCTTTTACACTTAATAGCACATAATGATAATTTTATGAATAAATCAAGCTATACATAATACAAAATTTTGCACATTTTTAATTTTTATAAGTTCATCTATTCACATTACAGAATATTTGCAAAATAGAGGAAGGTTCGCCTGTGATCTGTGCACTGTCGGTATCTGTGTGCCCAGTTTCACTGACGGATATTAGATATGCATGTCTGAGATCATGTGTATATCTCCGTTTCCTCGGAGTCTTCTCCCATCTCCGTCCCCAAACATAGAGTGATTTGGGAAATTTCAATCTGCGGTCCTAAGTGCAGCTGGCAGGGTTTGTGACGTTTACTAGGTACTGTTGGCTGGCTCAAGGCACCGGCAGCAGTGATGTCAAAGCAAAGACAATCATCAAACAGAGAAGGGAAAGGAAGAGGAGAGCGTCGGTGAGGAGCAGGGGAATAAGGGGCTGCCCTACATGCATGCGTGTGTGTGTGTGCAAATCTAGACTCTTTTAATAAGAGAAACAAGTTAGAGTGAGGCTGCGTCCGTTAAATTACGGTTGGGTTTTGTCTGTATGGTAGCAGCCATCTCCTCTCAGATGGTTTCTTTGCTTCCACCTTCACCGGCTTTTGGCCCCTTGGGCGCCCCAGGAGAGAATTCTTGATTGGAGGATCCTGTTTGAATGAGTTCTCACGGGGCTGTATATGCACAAGAGAATAACCAGCTCCATTGGCCCAACGTAGGTGCCACTCAGAAAGTGAAAACATCTGGTAAGTTAAAGATCAGACTAACCCCCTAGCTCCTACTGCTGGGTTGCTGAGGATCCCACTTCCAGCAGAGCCTTCTCGATCCTTCTCTGAGTCTGTAGAGGGCGCTCATGTCACTGGAATCCCACTTCGTGGCTTAGGGCAGGCAGAGGAGCAGGAACCCTGAGTGGCTCAGATCTTCTCACAACAGAAAGTCAGCAGATCTGCCCTTTGATGATCTCAGGCTGGACTTTGGGGCGGGTAGTCATGTTTCTCAAAGAGTGGTACTTAGATGAGCTCTTTAGTTCAGCTTGCATATTTGTGGACTCCTAAAGCGCTGGCGAATGGGGAAGGGGCAGCATAAGGGCAGCACTCTCTTCCTTGGGAGAATGGTTCATTTTTTTTCCTTGTGGCCTAAAGAGCTTGTACGTGGTGCTCCCCAGGTCCCACCTTGCTGCCTCTGCTACCTGCTTTCGGTTTTACTGCTCTGCTTTGTGCATGCCTGGTGCATGGCCTGCCTTGCAGCCCCCTCCCTGAAGCGTCGCTGAGCCTGCCAGTGTTTCCACAGCTCCTTCTCACACTGCATTGTAGTTACGTGGGGCTGATACCCCTACTGGACTCTAAACCCCTACAGGGCAGAGACCTTGGGGCCTCATCCCTCTCTGTAGCTCTGCCTCCTAGCACAGGACCCGACATATGAAAGGCCTTCTTGAATCAGAAATGAATGAATCCACCTTTTCACAAGTACCCGTTGGTGACTTAGACTTGCTTCTAAAAGGAGAAGTAGAGGAGAGAATGATTCAAAGGAAGGAATCACTGTAAGTGAACATGTAGGCTCTTTAGTAGAAGGCAATAGATTCTCTTGGACAAGAGGTCCCATCCTTGGCTTTGCCACCATTTTGCTAGAACTGTATTGTTTTGGTGTTAGTTTTTCTCCCTGATATGACTTCTTCATTATGTTACCTGAAAGCAGGTTCCAACCATTACTGAACATTTTTGATCAGGGGTTAGCAAACTATAACCCGTTGTCTCTCCACCTATTTTTGTTAATAAAGTTTTTTTGGCATACAGCCACACTCATGTGCTTATATGTTGTCTGTGGTTGTTTTGTGCTACTGTGACTGAGTTGAGTAGTTATGACAGAGACAGTGTATCTACAAAGCCCAAAATATTTAGTACCCGGCCCTTTACAAGAACAGTTTACTGGTCCCTGTTTTAGATGATAAATTGCTCCCTGTCGGCCCAGAGTCCTCAGTCATTCAGTGATTATCTGATGTGAAGCAGCGTTTTGAAAGAAGGGGTGCATGCAGAAAGGGTTTAAAAGACCTGGTTCCTGCACTTATTAGCTGAGGAACCTTCGGCAGGTCGTTCTGGTACTTTGAGACCTTTTCTTCATCTATCAAACGGGCATTGAAAACGTCTACCTCATCGGTGATTCTGTGCATTGCTCGTGACAGCACTTCGTGGATGTCAAGAGCCACCCTCCCAGCAACTGTGGACGTGATCATTGCCATTCTCTTTCTCAGGAGGAGGAAGCCAAGAAGCTGGTGAGTGAAGCCATTGCAGCTGGCATCTTCAACGACCTGGGATCTGGAAGTAACATTGATCTCTGTGTCATCAGCAAGAGCAAGCTGGACTTCCTCCGCCCGTACTCAGTGCCCAACAAGAAGGGGACTAGGTAAGTGAAGGAGATGAAATTCTGCCTGTGTCCCCTGATTCCTGCGGCCACTCCTGATCTCTCCATGGCATTTAGACAAGGTTTTCTTGATTGTTACCCGGTGAAGTAAGGCTAGTGTCCCCAAGGCGGCCTTACACACAGACCTTCGAGTCATTATTTGCTTTATGATTTGGGTTGCTGTCAGGTATAGAAGAGTGATTTTACTTGTAAAATGTTGATGGGAGAGGTAGAGCAGGGCCCAATAGAGATTCGAATCACCTGCTATTCTTTCTCTAGTCTCTTAAAGAATCCCCTGAATTCCGTATGACATCCCATAAGAAGCATTTTTCAGGGAAACCAGCCCGTAGCTTTTCTCAGAGTGGTCTAGGAGTCCTAAGCAGTTATAAACTAGGGGTTAGGAGTCTTGAAAGTTAGCCTGGGGTGCTCCCTGGTGTCTCCTGCTCTCCTGGGAGCCGTGCTGTTCCACCTGGGGCATATGCCGAGCAGGCCCTGTGTTTCAGTGGCGTGGCCCAGACTCAGAGGGGGAACAGGGTTCTAGCCAGTTTGCTGACTAGAACTAGAAGGTTTACAGCCCTGGTGACTGGTGTGTGCAGATGAGCTGCTCATTTGCAGTCTTGCATGGTTGTCCAGCTGTTTGGCCATCCTCTGGCTCCTGACCTCTTCTGCGGGCCTGACAGCTCAAGATAGGGCTCCCGAGCTCTGCTTCCAGCTGCACTCATGTGAATGTGGCACAGCAGGATTTACAAACTCCACCACTTCCCATGCAGCCCCATAGCGAGGCCAGAGTGTAGCAAGCACATCGCCTTCTGGAAGGCTTCCTTTAACTCTCACTGCATATACCCAAATTCCAAATCAGGAGTAATTCCAAGGAAAGAGTAGGACATTGAGAACCAGCACCACACTCAGCACTGTGGGAACTCAGTGTGCTCGCAGCAGGTAGGGTAGTTCAGCAGCAAAGAGTTCTGGCTCAGGGGTTGGGGAGAGGTCATTGCCTCGCATGGTGACTTTGGGCCCATCAGTCTCCTAGTCTTTGGAATGATGGAGCTAGGTAGGTGAACAACCCGTGGAGTACCTGGGCTTTGAGCTGGAAAGGGAACCACCTTTCAGGCCTGGGGCTTTGCTGGGGGAACAGGCTTTGCCAAGCCAGCTCCCTGACGCCTGGGTTCCCCATTATATGCAAGATGCTGCAGGAGCTGAGAGTTCAGGGAGGAGGACATGGTTACACTCCATCCAGACAGAACAGAGTCCTGGGTGAGGATTCTGGAAGCCACGTTTGAGCCACTGAAAAGTAGTATTTATGTAGGACGAGGAACCTGTGCTCAGCAGTAGCACATCTTAATTCTTTGGGACATTGTCACTCATCTGTAAAAGAGACTATAAACCCACAAGAAGAGACACAAAACGACCCTGTTGGCTAGTTGTGAAGATTCAGTGAGCTGGTATGAGAGGGGCTCGGCCTGTGGCAGGCGTGCGCTGGGCCCTGCGGCAACACTGCACGCTCTGGAATCTCACCGTCCTCTTTCCTGCCAGAGGCTGACTGGTGGGGCGCTGCCTGGGGTAGGGGAACCTTTCCCAGAGTGGGCAGTCAGTCTGGGGGCAGAGATTCGGCCTGGGCGGGTGTGAACCCAGCCCTGCACCTTCCTGTTGGCTGCTCTGCTGCCAGCCTGCCGCAGCCCTGCTTTGGAGAAGCCCTCCCTGCCTGCCGGCACCAGGCGCCCGTCACCAGGGTGGTGAGGCTCTTGTGTGTCTGAGCCTCCCCCAGATGTGGCGGTTCAGACGAGTCGGGCACACAGGAGTCGCTTGGGGTATCGGGCTCCAAGATGACAAAGCTGCCAAGGGTCCAGTCCGGGGGGAAGGAGCCAGATCGTCACACCTGCAGGGGAGGGGTGGGGCACACCTTGAGAAGGTGCTGCTGCTGAGTGTGGTGGGGACCGATGGCTGAGCGGAAATGAGGCCAGCCGTTTGCTGCACAAACTCCTGGATTTCTGCAGAACTCGGACGTCGCCCACTTTTTCCTGCTTCCTGCTCCCTGTTTGAGCACCAGTGCCCATTTGAGGGGCTGATTTTCAAGGAGCACGTGGTCACGGGATAGCTAACAGCCTTCTGTTAGTCCGCGCCAGATTGACAGAAATAATGTCCCAGCTGGGGAAAGACCAGAGGAACAGTTGGATTTGTACTGCTGTTTGACGATATTGTAATTCCTGGCCCCAGTGTGAGAATTAGCAGCTCAGATGTGGCTCTTATAGACTGCTTGTGCTCAGAGAAACCACTGTCAAGAGTCACTCCGAGAGAAGGTGTGGGGCGTGACCTGGTGGGGACCCACCGCACCGCCGCAGGGAGCAGCTAACCCTTCTCAAGGCTCAAGAGTGTAGTCTAGAGTGACAAGCCCAGAGTCCGGCTTCGGGTCATTTTTATACTGTTTGTGCTTCCACATGTTTTTAATGTTTAAGGTAACAATTAAGTCGTCCTTGTTTCTACACAAGAGAAGGGTGATGACAGCCTAACAAAAGGGTCCACTTCCTGCTGATACTGAAGGATGCTTTTGGGGAGTTGAAGCTCGAAGGCAAATGACCAAGTGCTTTCCAGCATCTTCTGGGGAGGGTGAGGTGGAGAAGGAAATGTGAGGGCCCATTAAGTGCCAGGTGCTCTATCTGAGTGCTTTTAGGGTGCACATCTACCAGGTGTCCCTATTTTGTAGCTCTGCAGCACTGGGGAGAGTGAGCCTTGGGGCATTTGAGTCCCCCCAAGGTTACAGAGCTGGGAATCAGGAGAGCCAGGCTCTGAGTCCAGTCCTGCTTGCTGCCTTGCCTGAGTACTTGTCCCTCTCTCCAGGCCTCTGTTGGGCCCCTTGAGGGGATCCTAACTCTGCTTTTTTCTCCCACTAGGTTTGGCCGGTACAGGTGTGAGAAAGGGACCACTGCAGTCCTCACTGAAAAAGTCACCACCCTGGAAATCGAGGTGCTGGAAGAAACAGTTCAAACAATGGACACTTCCTGAATGGTGTCCGTGGAGTACCTGGGCTTTGAGCAGGATGGGAATCACCCTGATGGGCTGATTAGTGCTCTACGAGATGGGGGGTGGGGAGCAGTGGCGGCTCCCCCATAAGACCTTCATTTGGCGCAGTGTCTGCTGAATGAGACCCAATAAAAAAATGAAAATCGGATTGAATGGCTGAGGTCTGGAGGTTGTGTGGTTCTTTGGCCAGTAAGGCTCATTGACCTGCCCCTCCCCCCCTTCAGGATATTAATCCGTCCCCCAGTGCCCGTCTGCATTCACACAGGTGTTAAGAGCAACGTAACCCTCCTCCTAAAAGCAGGTGAGGCCTCATCTGTCACGGAAGTCAGATGAACCTTTCTACCCACCCCTTGTGCTAACTTTTTCTCTGTGTTCGGGGTGGTCCCAGGTTTTCTTGTTTTGTTTTGCTTTTTTAGAGTGAAGGCAGCGCAGCCTTTTACCTCAGCAGCCAAGTAGGAAACAAGTAGAGACACCAGTTCTAAATACCAAGAAAAAACAGGTAGGTGGACAGTTGGCTTCGCCATACCTGCATAAAACTGGGTGAACTGCTCGTTGGCCAGTTTCACAGAAGTCGCAGGAATGCTTTGGGGCTTTACTGTTTGTGGTAATTAGGATACCATCATTTCACAAGCACTCAGGCCTGGTGAATGGCTGAAATTTCACGCCTCCAGAGGGTCCTGGTGAGCAGAGTTGCTCTCATGGTGTTGAACATGAGTGGCGTGCCGAGAGCAAGTTCATCCACGTCTGTGGCTGATTCTGCCACAGGTGACACAATAGAGGCTCTGAGAGCCGTAAGCAGAATATGTGCAAAAAAATGTGTGGAATCAGAAAAACTTCTAGTGGCAAGTGCTAGGCAGGAGATAGGGCCTTGACTCTCCCCCAGAGATAGCATGGCTGGGGTACACGGGAAAGAGTCCCAGCACCATGATCTTCCAGACTGAACCCACTCTTGGGGCAGCTGCCCTTGTTAAATTGCAAGGAGTAGGGTAGGGAGAACAATGGAATTATTTAGGGCAGTGTCCTGGCCGACGATTATCAAAATTATCTGGGGAGCTTAAAAAAATTCCAAGATTACTCAGAATGTCTGGGGCCTGAGAAATTGTGCTTTTAAAGGTGCCTGGGGAAATTGTGCTGTCACATGAAGCTGTTTTAGAGTTATCTGTGAATTATACTCACTCACTCACAGAAGTGACCCCTCTTACCCCATTTTATTTCAAACATGGAGAACAAGTACAAAGCAAAGATTGCATCTGAAGAAAATGTCTCAAACCCGACAGGGTTACAGTAGAACAGAGTTCACACGTGGAAACAGAGCAGGGGCCCAGCCCAAGTCCTTTATCCCCAGGGAGGCCTGGGCCCCTGGTCAGCAAGTTGGCAGCAATCAGAGCACCTGACCAGAACGCTGACTGACTGGGCGGGCATGTCTCTATCTGGAGGGCTGAACTGTCACCAAGTCGATGGGTGACAACTTAGACCATTTGAGGATTAACTTGAGTAGAAAAGCAGAATTCAAACTATTTCCTTCAGAGCTTGAGTTTTCCTTAAGTTCACATTTATAAATTAGTCTTCACAGTTAATCCTATTTGGGAACAAGAAATAAATGAACATAGTTCTGGTTTCCTATGCATATAATGTAGTTGTACGTTAATTCTTGACTTACATGGTCCATGGACTTCAGTTTTGTGAAGGGGTGGGTGAGTGGCTACCATTTTTGGATCATCTGCAATGTGCTAGGTCACTTGCCTATTTCCAATTCTGCCAGCAAGGCTGAAGGTAGATACTCTTAGTCCCATTTTACAGATGAGCAAACTAAGGCTCAGAGAGGCTGAGAGAGTCACCTAGGGTCATGGTAGGCAGTTGCAGAACCAGAACTTGTACAGAGGATGGCCTGAGGGCCTGGTTTATATTTGTTTTTGGTATCCTGTGCTTCCTTCCCACAGAGGAGAATGCCTAACACTGACTGTTAAATGAACTGCCGGCCTTCCAGCAGGTGGTGGAGGGAGGGCCTGAGATGCCTGGGACGGAGCAGGTGCTCGGGAGGGGAGGGCTGAGCGGGACTGCACAGAAAACACCCCTGGCTCACGAAATACCGGTTGCCTTCTGAAACTCTGTGCCAGATGCTGGGTTCTCCTCATCGTCATTCATCACGTTATAAACATACATAAAAATATTAGGAAAATCTCCACTCTACTTAAAAAAAATTATTTCCATTTTATCCTTTTACAACAGAGCAAGCACACAGCTTGATTTTTTTGAAAAGATTCTAAGAGCTAAACTGAACTTGCTATAACCAATTTGAAAGGCTCACGACAAGTCACACAGTCTCCTGTAATTCTCCTGTTCTTATAAACCTGACAGGTCACTGAAGGAATTATCCTAAAGATTCACATTACAATCCAGATATAAGGGGTATGTCGGTGGCTCGCTGAACCGCTCACCCTTGGTAACAAGCCAGCTGAGATTGTCCACAAACAGTTTAAAGAAAGGACTTTCGAATGTGACCACCGGTGACCCTGTGACCAGTGCCCCTCCCCCTGCATTCAGCACCTGCTGTGAAGCCCGGGGTACCCTCTGGGGAACCCGCCAAACCCTCTTGTCTTAGTTGATGATCTAGGCTACCAGGCGGCCACTTCGGAGAGAAGACTCAAGTAAGGCAAAGTGGTGCGGCTCTGAGAAGGCGTGCTGCGTCCACGTTCAGGTGCTGGAAGTCCACACGTGCATCTGTTTGGCAACCTGGTGCACATATCCGATGTCGGGTCTCTGGTTGGGGTCGGGGTAGATGCACATGCTGACCAGTTCTCGTAACTGTAAGGGCGAGAACGGCATGTTATTTTTCAGGAGACAGCCTCGTGGAGGCCCCGCGCCCGCGCTTGGTCTGCACAAACTCAGCCCTCACAGCTACCGAGGGGGGCGCGGCACGCAGGTGAGCGACGGGTGGGCAGTCACAGTTGGCACCAGTGCTAGGCCGGTGTGGCCCCAAGGCCACACCTTGAGACTCTGTTGAGTGGCTCTGTCCAAACAGTTGTGAACTTCCAGCTGCCCACACGTGTGTGTGTGTGCGCGCACACTGTCAGTCATGCAGATACCCAAACCAGAGGACAAAACTCAAGGCGAGGGCTTATTGATCATAATAAATGCATTAACATGCAGCAGGGCTGCAGTCTGCCCACCCCCTGGCCTCTTTATTGTGCGCATGAAAGACGGAGCTTTTAATTATACAGACACTGAAGGCTGCTCCCGCCTCGGGCTGGGGGAGGGGCGCCTTGAGCCTCTGATCGCCTCCGTTCTTCTGATAGCCAGAGTGCCAATTATTTTAATGGTAATTAAAATAATGACCTTAAAAAGCCTACATCTTCACTTGCATCACTGGGCTCACTGCAATTTTTTCATTTAAGTACCTGGTGCTGGAGGGGCTGGCTGGCCCTGCAGGGTTGGGGGGGTGGGCAGCAGCAGAGAGAGGGTTGGTCCTGAATGAGAGGGCTCATGTGGACTCGGTGGCCATGCTCAGGGAGTCTGGGGAGGGTGGAGGGGTCAGGTGGGGGCCCTGGGGCTACTGTCCACGCTCCGTGTTTCACACCTGAGGTGCTTCAGGCTGCAAATGAGGTTTCCCTGGGTCAGGCATTGTGAGCTTCCCTCCAACCTGTGTGCTGCCTTTTTGGGATTCCACTGCTTTATAAGCACTGGGAAGCCCCTGGACAGGCAGCTGCCGCTGGGCCTGTGGCTGGCCTGAACACTCCTGGAGTCTGAGGTTGCCCGTGATGAGATAATACTTCTGGAACCTTACAGTATTCAGGGGAAGGCAGTTGGACAAGTTCATGTACCCAAGAAAAATGGATGAAGGTAAAGTCATTGTGACTCCCAATTACTCAGTGAGTAGACTGCGCAGTTGGCAGTAAGAGGATGTCTGAAAACTTCGGAAACCAAGAGAAAAACAATAAAGTGTCTTTTATACCCCTTTCTAAGAGGTGATGTAAACTTCAAAAGTGAGGTGTGCTGAGCAACTCCAGTGCTAAGAAGCACCTCTCACTTCCTAACACACAGCCTAGAAATGCTGAACGTAACTGGTGAAAGCCGGATGCTCTGGGGAGTACGAGGTCACAGAGTTGGAGTGACTGACGAGAGAGAAGGGGGCTGAGGGCTTTATGCAGATTCATTTCATTTCAGCTTCTATTAGGCAGAGATTACAGTTGCCATTTATAGGTAGGAAACGGGCACAGAGAAGTTTTGATTTGCTCCAAGTTCCAAGTCTGTGCTGCTTGTAAATAGTAACAGATTTTCAAATTTAAAAAGGTGAAAAAGAAAAACTAAATGCAGCAATTAAGTGGTTAAGAAATCTATTAGCTTGACCTTTCCTGCCAACTTCCACTCCAGAGCATAAGTACTTCCTTCGAGGAGACATAGAAGAACTTTGTAAGCCGCTGAGGCAGAAGCCATGACAGAGCGTGCACTGATCAACCCTCTAGGAATGTGTCCTCCCGACCCTCACTCTCCGTCCTCTGGGAGTCTGCAAAGCCAGTGAGCGTGGCGCTAAGTATGAAGGCTGCCAAGAGAAGGGTGGCTGATGACCCTTTTGGTTGGCCTGGCTGGACACAGCGTGAGGACACACTGGGAGACCCGGTCTCTGCAGCCCAAGCCCCTGGTGGACAACGGCTGCTCCTTCCAGAGCCTTCAGAGTCTTCAGGATTGGGACTGCCGCAAGCTGCACAGGGGCGCCTCAGCGCAGCTGGACCACTGGCTACTGAGGTGTGCCATCAAGAAACAGGATAGCACAGTGGCTGGGTGCAGGATCTCTGGGTTCAAATCCTGCCTTCACCACTTGTGAGTTACGTGACTTTGGGCAAGTTACGTTAACGTATCTGTGTCTCAAGTTTCCTTGGTAAAATGGAGGTGAGGGAGGACTCAATGGTGGGTCACAAATGTGCGCTGTTAGCCTGCCACAGTAGCCTGTGGTCCTGCAGGGTGGGCCCAGGGAGGTCTCGGAGTCCCCTCCACATCCTCTAGGGTGGCCCTTGACAGAACACTGATGGTTGGCACAGAGCATTTACTCGGAGCCATGCCCTTTGTTACAGCTGGTGGCTCCTTTTGGTGGCCTTGGGGTCAATGTCAGCCTGGTGCTAAGCTGAGCATGTCACATGCATGACCTAATCCTTACA